GTTTTCATATGTATATGTTTATCAATTTAAGAAAGTACAACACGAACTTCTTAAATTTGCCAGTTTTCGTCTTGAATGAGTTATGGATAGATTTGATTACAACTATTCGACTATAATAAACATTCTTAACCTTCCATCTTTGGAAATGTGCAGACAGATTACAGATGCCTTTTTTTACAAAATAATATTGGGTTAAATTAATTCTCCTGAGCTTCTTCCAATTTTAAAATACGTTCAAAAATTTTTTGAAAGGTTTTTCTATTCTTTTGTCCATCTTTTTTCGGTCCAATTTGTCACAAAGTGATAAATATCTATCAAATCCTATCACGAAAATGCATAATTTTGCACGTAGCATTTTGCATTCATGTGATATCTTTACGAGGTCATTTATGTCTTTTAAGCGTTCGGCTTCCTCTGCATTATTGCATTAATCTTTGCTTTGCAAACATTATTACATTAAATTTATAATCTTGATTATATAGATTATTTTAATTTAGTAGATTATAAGATTATATCGATTTAATTTAATCTAATTATTACTTTATCACTTAATTTTATGGTTTTTTCCCTTTTATATAATTCGTATAATTAAATTTTTTTCTTGTATGTATACATTGATATATGCATATATATATATATTCATTTTATTTGTAATGGGTATTTCTATGTATAAATAAATAAATAAATATTATTGACATGTCAATTGCCATTGTGGCCATCTGTATCATCACTGCTATATGGGTGCTTTCCATTTAGTAACACAAGTCGACACAAGCAATATTTTATTTTTATTCCATATTCAATGAATAACAAAGATATTTAGAATGATGCTTGTATCGACTTGTGTTACCAAATAGAAAGCATCCAATATTATATAAAATGTAAATACGATTGTATGTAACAAACATGCATAATCAACAGAGGGGGAAACGATGAAACGAGAACTAACAAATATATGTACCGTGAATCATATTTATTTATAGTATCGTTGATGATTCAAATTTTAGTCGAATATTGAAATAATTAATCGAAGTCAGCGTGGCAGTCGATGTGTTAATGTTTCCATATTCAAAATTAACTTTCTCGGGACGCAAGCCCGATGGGAAAATGTTTTATTGTATATTTTCCACTGATTTCTATTTTGTTGTACTTGGAACCACGATGCATGACGTACAGTGATTCGCGATAATGACGAAAAATTCGTTGGAACAACAAAATTTCCCACAAAGCGAATTTTGCGTCGTTTTTTCCACCTATCTTATACCGTATTGATCGTGGCAATTGTAAATAACATGCGATTTTGTTCTGTCGCGTCGTTGATGTCCGCATTGAAATTTATTTCGGTGAAGTTTTCGACCTTTCTTCTCTCCCTCTCTTTTCCTCTCTCTCTCTCTCTCTCTCTCTTTCTCTCCCTCTCTCTTTCTTTCTCTCTCTCTCTCTCTCTCTTTTCTCTCCCCCTCTCTCTTTCTCCTTCTTTCTTTAAAGGTTTCAGTGACGTAAATCTTGCATGTTTACTGAGAACTTCCGGTGAAAAGCGCAGACCTACTTTGCGTATAATTTATTTCCCGCAGTGTACGCGGTTGCAACGGATGAGTTTTTAATGGCGCGTAACACGGAAATAAAATTGGCCGCTTTCGTGGACATGGAAATTAGATCTCGCGTGAGGCGACGACAGGCGCATTAGTTTTCCATCACGGATCAAAAGAAATTACGCTAAATAAATTTCCTCGGTCTCAACGGAACGATAAAGTATCGTGATATCCTTAGAAGACGCCGCTTCTCGACGACTCGTCGATATGTCTCCTCGAGATTTTGGAGGCTTTACGAACTGATTACTCGGGAAGATCTCGGCTGCACATTCAAATCTCGTGCCACACATCACTGCCACTCGTATATACGATAGCTCGATTGCCGCACTTGTTTTCGAATTTTAACATTACTAGTTCGCTTCCTCCCCACCGTATTCAGCATTAGAAAAGTAACCAGTTCCGAATTTGGCTTATTTTGCACAGATATGTCTTAAGCGGAGCATTGAACGGTTACATTTGTATTAGAAGTAGGTAAATCTGTTCTTCAGAGACAGATATAATTTCCTTAATAAACATATTAGAAAAAATAAATAAGAAAATTCGTACTTGGGAGCAGATTTGTTGACACTTTATTTTCGATTAATTTTTTTCATTACATTGAGTCGTATTTTAAAGTTAATTCTCCTCTCTCCTTAATCAATTTTAACGCATGTCCAAATACTGTCCGAAAGCTCCGCTTTTTTGTCCGCTTTTTATCGGTCCAATTTTTCACATGGTGACAAATACTGTTACTTTTAAAGCTTTTACTTTTTAAGCTACAAAAATATCAATAATGCTTAAGCAATCTTTTTTACGCGTACGTACTTTTATAAATATTTTAAAAATCTATATAATCTAAAATGTTGGATATAATAAAATATTGTTATAACATTTGTCTTTCACTGCTTTCAAGGTACATGAAAAGCAGTTTTTGTATCAAGCTGTAACTGGCAATGAAAAGTGGATATATTATGATAACGCTAAACGGAAAAAATCATGGGTGGATCCAGGACAACCATTAATATCAACATCAAAACATATTCATGGAAACAAAATTATCTTTCTATATTTGGTGGGATTATAAAGATGTGTTGTGTATCACGAGTTGCTCAAACCAATATGAAACAATTACAGTTCATCGCTATTCACAACAATTATACAAATTGAAATAAACATTGGATAACAAACAACTTCCAATCGCGAATAAAAGACATAAGATGATTCTTTTGTATGGCAACGCCACATGTTGCTAAAAGACAAGTTATTGGAATTGGAATTTGGATGGGAAGTCTCACTTCATCCCGCGTATTCAGATATTGCAGCATATAATTATTATTTGTTCTGATTGATATAACATACGTTGCAAAATACACACTTTCGAAACTTTGAAGAAATAAAAAAATTTATCAATGAATAAATTACTTTTAAAGAAGAATTTCTTTTTTTACCGTGGGATCCACTTATTGCCAGAAAAATGAGAAAAGATTGTAGTAAGCGTTCGAAATATTTTGACTGAAATACAATGTATCATATTTTTTAAAATAAATGCTTTATTTAAGTCAAAAAAACCTTCTGATACATGGATAAATATTAAAGAATTTATTTATTTTCCCTTTTTATAGAGCAACAATTTGTGCGTAATAAGCACTATCCAAGTAGACACATCTAGATATAGATATTCTCTTATCTCGCTTTTATGTCAGTTACCGGGTCTTTGTGTACCGGTACGGGCAATAAAACAGTTTCGGACACGCTGTATATATACGCACATATTTTATTTTTTTTATTATTATTTTTTAAAGGTATTATTTTAGCACAATATTAGTGCAACTGAGCACAACTTAGAAAGAGAAGAGAGAGATAACTTAGAAGAAAATTGCAAAAACCGAAAAATGGAGGGTTGACAAAAAATTGTTTTCTTTAATTTTTTTCATATAGAAAGTTTATAATTTTAGTATGATATAGCACCAGCCTAACATAAATCAACATAACTGTCAAAATAAGTTAACTCGAAAAGTGAGGGGTTAACTTCGTTCAGGCCATAATTCATAAGTAACGCCTTATGAAGTACAATTACCAGTTGTCAGCGGTTCATGATATTTCGTAACTAGATATAAAGGTACCGTTATGTCCGACAATGTATGCACGACGAAAGTGTAATGCAATTTGAAAGCCATGCGTCGGAATTGCATGAAACTTTCAGGATATGTTAGCAATACCGTTACGGATATAACGATGCCATTGCGGTAACCCTGAGGCGTCTCATTCCCCTATATATTGTATAAACACGTAGAGTTAAGTGCGGTTTACCAATTGCGCGGTTGAATGCCGTTACGTTTTCACGTTTCTCCGAGAAAATTAACCGAAATCAAAGTCGATTGTTCGCTTGTTCTTTTTCATTAATACGCCAATATTAACGCGCTCGCGATTTTTTAATAACGATTACAAGTGCTTCGTATTTTATTCAATGTGATTTACCAATGAGTTACCAAAATTAGCAATTATTTATTCTATATTTTGAAAAAATGAAGTACATTCCACATTAAAATAAATCATTAATATTGTTAATAATAAAAATTCATTATTGTATGAAAGAAAAAACAAATGTTTGCCAATTATAATTGAAATAGAGAAAATAAATTAAGGCACAAATTGAAGATGTAAGTCTTAGAAGAAGGATTCAAAGTTTTATATTCTTTTGATCAGTAACTCAGGTCAATTCTTATGAACACTGGTATCTGAAGTGAGTCAAACCGTGATTTATTTTGACTATTCTATTATATATTTTCATTGTAATAAGCATATGTACAACCGAGAAACGTACATCACATTTTCTAAAAATAAAAAGAACAATATAAAAGAAGTCAATAAAAGTCATTTTTTAAAGTTATTTGAGATCGAGATATTAATCATGATTAAAATTGCTGAAAATTTAGTCAATATGATGTCAATTTGTTCTCTTTGGGCACTTACATAATTAAATTTTCTAACTGCAACTATATCGAATTATGACGTAAAGAACAAAACATCCCGTGCGTTTTTTTGCATCATACGTCGAAATAAATGACTTATTCACGTACCGTCATTCAAGTCCGATAATGTACAATGGTAAAATATACTATAAACTAAATATCGATCAACCGCCACAAGGTTCATTTTCGTTGGAGTTATGGAACAAATGTAGATTGAATTATGTTGCCATATGCTAACGTGGAACAACGAAATGAAGAGTTTTTCGTATATCTCACCAATATTCATATTCTGACACGAATGTCGGTGTATGAAAAAATCAATTTGTGGTCAACAGACGTACACATATACAGTGCAGGAAAGTGTTCGTCCGATTTCTCGCTTCTAACGTTGATATAGCTATAATTAAGGTGCAGCAACCTTGAGAAGCAAGCCTGTATGCTTTAGTGCTTACGAGCTTACCTTGATCGTGAATTGCCTGCAAAGCGGCTTGTAGGCGTTCGTGCCGCAAACGAGGAAGCGATCGGGACCCTGCCTGCCAAATACTCGCAAGTAGTTCTGGCACTCATCGTTGTTACGGCCCTTCAAGTTACAAAGCTCGAGATGCGACTGGGTGCTGGACCACAGCAATCTCTGAAACAGGCAAGATTGAGCAAACATTAGTAACTCTGGTTTCCTCGGTAGACTCCATATCGTGTACGCTATAAAGTGCACGAGTTTGTACAGTAAAATCCGATTAGAGGTCGACCGAAGATTAATGTCCCTATATGAAAATTTCGACGGTTCTTAATCTCCTTACCTCCGATAAAGAGGGAGAGTAAGCGAGAGAGGGAAAACGTATTGATTCGTAGTGCCATTACTGTAACGTGCTTGTCCTCTTGTGCGCACAAAGGACTCGGCTTAATCATTTTTTTTTTTATTCGCCTTAATGCATATGAATTATTGCTCTGTTTCAATAAGGATCTGTAATCGAATCCGCGAATAATAATAATAACAACAATAACAATAATAATAATATAAAGTTGCTTTAACGTTAAGAGATCGTCTGAAATAGAACTTATATCGTTCGCTAACATGAGTCGTACGATAAGGTGAACTATGACGCAACATTGAATATTTTCTCAAATTGTCATCATATCGATGAAAAACGACGATAGTGATAGATAGATGAAATATCATCGTGGAAAACGGTGAAATTTTTACCCGATAATAACCCACTCCTGATAATAATGACGGTGTACTCGTCTACGCTTGTGTTCTTTCTCTTCTTTTGTATTGCTTGTGTTCCTTGTGTTCGTTCCCTCCTTTTGCGAATGCACGCATTATTATTCAGATCAACGATACGTAACCTGCCTTATTATTATTCTTTACATTGAGATGCATCGACGAATAACGATCAGACCTACACTAAGTGAGCCACATTTTCCGACTTCGATCTACATTGTTTGGGTTGGTTTAAACGTGCATCAAAATTGTGTCTTCTTAATCCTGCACAAGTACTACGAGTACCTTTTCTACCTTAAAACGTTTCGTAAACTACAAATATCCAAAAAACACAAAGGGCTATTTGATCCGAAAAATCAGATTTTCGAGTAACGTTATTGAAGAGTATATATATTGTTCCATTTTCGTTAACCGTCTACTTTTTATTCAGCTATTAAGAAATGACAGAAATGAATTCTATTTTAATAGGTTAAAAATGGTGCGAAAATGAAACCTTTTAATGGAAAACCCTAAATAATGTTATCCTCATCATATCGATATATTAAGTATTCTCGTTATGTTAAATCCGATCGTATCAGTAGTTACAAGGATTACCTTATTTTTAATCTTCATCTTTTATTTGTATTATTCCGATAACGCTGATTTATAAAATTCCATTTGGTATTAAACTATACTTCCTATTGTGTTTTGTAAATTAAACTGTTTCATATTTTAAATATTATATTTTTCGCAATGATTTTTCTCACCAATTTATCACTATTGTTAATCTATGTGAAAAATAAATTATGTTCAGTTTTCGACCACTCGAATGTTATATGTCAGCTTTTACGTAGATGAAAAATTGAAACTGCTGGAAAAAATAGAAATAGGTGAGATTATATGACAGCTTACAAATAGTAAATAAAATCAAGTTAATAAATAAAATCAAGTTAATAAATAAAAGGCTACTGACGTGGCAGAAAAACTTGGTCTGTCATTGATGACTTCCACAGAAAAGAAGACATTCTTCAAATCAAAATTAAATTTAAGTTGGCAAAGCCTACCAGGAAGATGTTTGAGGAACTTTCGTTATCGATTCATATCAGAGTATTCAGAAACGTCGAGAATATTTGCCAGGAGTACGCGAATTCCTCTGGAGAGACAGACTAGAAAACAGATCTTACCCAACACCTCCCGAAAATATTCGGTTGGCTAATAATTTCATGCTTAGTGTCATTTGAAAGATGGATAAAACGATCATTTTCGGCTTATTATGTTTTTTATTTTACAAAAGGCCAAAATGCGGCACAAATCTGTAAGATCTATGTGGCGTATAGCGAGAATGCTATGAAAGAACGCGTCTACCAAAAGTAGTTTGAGATATTTCGTTCCGGAGATTGTTTTGTTCAGCTGTAGGTGCCACTTGACGCTAAGGTAGACCATATATGTAGGTAAGACATTTATAACCTCGAAATAACCAAATTAATCAAGTTAAACCCGGAATGTACCTGGAGAGTGGCGATTATTGAAAATCTTCGCGCTGGAAGAACGCCAAGCGAAATAATAAGGTTTTTTTTGGATATCCCAAGTTAATGTGTACGATGTACGATGTTGCTCAGAGGTACGCGGCTTCAGTGAAATCTGAGGAGGGCTACTCCCATCCCGGCGGAGATCTTAGCAAGGAAGAAAGCAATAAGGACTTCGGAATTCATTCAAAGAACTCGAGACCTCATTTCGGAAAACCCAGGGATCTCGCTTAAGAAATTGGCAGCCGTTCTGGTAAGCGTCACCATCGCCTGTCAGATCGTTCAAGAGGATCTCAGGTATTAGAAAAGTCCTATGTCCTCAAGGTCCTCCAGATGCTCTCCGAGGCTGCCAAGCTCAAGAGACTTGCCCGCTGCAACTTGCTCGCATGTTCACTGAAGCACGAAGCTGCAGAACAGCGCCTCAGGTTTTTCTCTGACAAAAAGATCTTTACTGTGAATGCTAAGGTGAACTGAAGGAACGACCGTTGACTCGCCCACGACTTCGAAGACATCCTCGTGATGAGTAAGACCAAGTTTTCAATCAGTGTCCACGTCCTAAGCGTTGTCTCAAGTAAAGGCGACGCCTTCACTTTTCCAGAAGGAAGAAACACAAAAGAGATCTATTTGGAGATCTTAAGGACGGTGGTAAAATCTTGGATGGAGGCCGTCTATCTTCCAGCAAGAAGGCGTACCCTCTCACTCGAGTCATTTGGTACAGAAGTGGCTCTCCGATATGTTCTGGTCCAAGGACTTCTGGTCTTCCAAAGCCCCGACCTGAACCCTCTTGACTACTACGTGTGAAGCGTAGTCGAGAGGATTACCAACAAGTCCAGGCACTCCAATGTAGCCTCCTTCCGGGCCGCCATCAAGGCGGCGTTTGCGGTCATGGACCGGGCCCAGTTGAAAACGACGCTTTAGGATCGAGGCGGTGATCGAAGCGCAGAGCTTCATCGAATGAAAGAACTAAGGAAGGATCCCTTAAGTTGAATATTAAATCATTTCTTTAATATTTACTCTATTAAACAACTTTTCTAATAAAATGTTTTCATGTCCTGATTCTAACGGTGCACTCTGTACATATATAATTCGTACTGAACATCTATGTAGTGATCTCGAAAACGAGATATGAACTGTAATTAAACAATTAAGAAAGCGGGCAACTCAATTATAGAGAATAATTCAATTATATCAATTATAGAGAACCACAATTATAGAGAACACAAAATTATATAATCATAATTATTAAGAAGTGTCTCGTTCGAAGAGATCATTCCCTCTTCAGAAATATGCTTTTCTTAAATTCGTAGAAAAAAAAACAGTAACCCACTCAGTAACATTCTACTTTTCTAGCGCGAAATGTTATAACAGCGTGCAATGACAGCGTGAAATTGCTACCCCGAATCAAAAAAGATTTATGACTGAAGTCTCTGTGGCGACATCGCACTACCATTAATGGTATTACATAGTGATCTCTTGGAACGAGACATTTTTCTATAATTTTTATTATATAAAACTGCCTTTTATTTTATTATATCACCTGCCTTTAATGGGCTCGCTTAATTTATCGATAACACACACACAAACATTTTGTATAAAAAATCTAACTTGTTACTATAAACAAATATAATTTTTCTATTATAATGAAATAAAGAAAGGAGTTGCTTTTTCATTATATTGCCAATTCAAGTGTGTAATTTTTATACATGTACATGTGTAAAATCGTATGGTCACTTTTTACGCATTGTTATGTGTGTCCATTTTAATGTTATTTTGCTACATGTTTCATCTGTGTTATTTTCCGCAGTTAAATGCGTATTAAATGAATGTATTGATTTTTACAGATAAATATGTCTTTTTGAAACGTATGCTTTTATAATAAACTTATGATATAAATTTGAATTACTTGAATAATTATTATTTTCTAATTCGGTGAAAGATTCAGTGCTATTCCATTAATTACAGAGAACAATAAAAAATATATATTAGTTAGAGAGAAAATCCTTAGTGTTTTTCTGAACTTGATACTGAAAACGTTAGGAATTTTCTGTCTAATCTAATAATACATAATTCTCTTTAATTATATATAAGACTCATATATCGGGAATAATAAGGGGTAAATGTTGTTCATTTTATTTATAAATAAAATGTGTGTGTGTGTGTTATATTTTATAAATTATACATGTATGAAATACTTTAAAACTAATAATTTCCTTTTTAATTTTATTTGAGAAATATGACAAATCTTTCACACCAACCCAATATATTAGTATTATTGTTATTGTTAGTGATTTTACAGAGTACATATATAATAAAAAAATAGAAAATACATTTGCTTATGGCCACCTATGTATATTACGGACGCGCGAGACGATAGTCTCGCTCTGAGGGTCAAATCCGACTTAATATTTATCTCTCTGAGAAATCTCCGCAAAATATGAGGTTAACGGTCGTTAACGCATAAATTATTATACAAATATCGGCAGCGATGCGCGAAAATTCGACTCAGTCTGAAGGGGAAAAATGTGATCATACGAATGTAATACGATCGGAGAATAGAACGTTGAATGTTTTAAGAAAAGTTGACGGGGTAAAAGCTGAACGCGGTTTTAATTATAGAACGTTATTATCTGCTCGGTTTAACAAGTCAAAAATCAAACTACTCGCCGTCGTGACTTTGCGTATTCTCCGTCTCCTTGTTTAAACCGACCACCGTAGCCTCGAGGCAACGTCGAGAGACACAGGGTATACAAAACAACAGGAAGGAGACGAACGAGCGCACGCGCAAGGAGGTAGGGAAGGTAGTTGAGTAGGTTACGACAGGGAGCTGCAGCTGCATACTGCTAAGTAGAAATCCTTGAACAAGCTATTCAGCTCCTTCCCCGGCGTTGTATTATATCTTTAAGA